CAATATTATTATTACATGAAACCCAATTTTGCATTATCTGTATGATTTTAAGACAAAGTATCCGTTTTCGTATAGAATCCATAATCCATTATCAAAATTATTTTAACGACATTTGATACGAAATTATGTGACTCTAAACAATAACTTCTTTCACAACACATCAAACACATGACTTTGTGTTACAAATAAAGTGATTTGAATTGAAAAAAACTTTTCGAAACCATTTTAGCTAATTAATGACCAAAACATAAGTCTAATATCAATAGTAATGCAGTATTTATTCACTTAAAAGTCAAGCTAATTAGTTTTCTAAACGCAAATATGATGTACCTAACAATTAGAAAGCAATTTATTTCTGTTGATACACTCGCAGCCAATCCACTTCCATCGTAGGCTTCTCCCATTTGGTGGCCTCCCCGGCGGTCACCTGAGGGCCAAAAACTTTTTCGGGAAAAAACTTCCCGCCCACCGCTATATTCAGTATCCAATGGAAGTCCTTATTGTACGGCTCACCCTTATGTTTATAAGGATTGGTACCCTTTCCAGACCACATGTCCCTGTTTATATTTTCGGTGTGAAATTCTTTTCCATCTAAAAACCATTTGATATCATTCTTATCCCACGTGAGACCAAATGTATGAAACGTTGCACTGAAATCAGTGCTAAACTTCCTATCTTTAGTCCCTTTGGACACCGTGTCGGGTGCCACTCCTCCGTAGTGAATGGCTCCGGCTATAGTGTCCGTGCGCTGACCCCTGTACTCCATGATATCTATCTCACCGCTGGCCGCCCTATCCGTTTAAATGTAACAATTGATACATTAAATACTTATATTTTATAATATATTTCATATGAGAGGGAATGGATACAAACCATTTGCCAAACTCGTTATTCTGAGGCATGAGCCAAATGGCTGGCCATAAGTGTTTGCCTTTCGGTAGGCGAGCCCTGCACTCAAACTTGCCATAAGTCCAGGCCTTCTTTGAGGTGAGCCGTGCGGACGTGAAGTGTCGGCCGTCCTTCTCCTCGGCTTTGGCCTCAATAATGAGGTGTCCCTTCTCTACCCGTGTGTTCTCCTTGCGTTTAGAGGCATAGTATTGCAGTTCATTATTTGTTGTCCACGCTTTCAATACGTGTGCAATATTCAAGTCATATTACTATCATTAGTCATATTTAGCAGTCAATTGTGTCCAATTACCTCCTGAAGAGTACTTCCATTCCGAGTCATTACCATCGACATTAAACTCGTCCGACCAAACCAACTGCCAGTTCCCCTTACAGCCAACAAATATGCCGCAAATTACAAGTACTACCAAATACATGCTAACGTAATGCTTAACAATCCATTAAATTGGCAATTAAATATATTTTTTTGTATTTTTTCCTCATTTTATTACTTATATCGTAGTATAATATAATATAGTGAAAGTACAGGGTTGTTTGTTTTTATACCATGTGTTTGGCTGCAATTGATCTAAGTATTATAATTAATTGATTTAGCTTGTATTCATTGTTCCTCTAAATTAAAACAATCAATGCAATTATTATGCAATCCTATGAAGAATACATTATATGAATTATTAATTATGTTTATAATTACCAAACTTTTACCTTGTTGCAATTACTGCATCTGGGTTTGAAATAACTTTTTTAAAATCACCTTCAGGTATTTGTCCAAGGAAATATTTCTCTATCAATTTCAATTGAATCTATTGCTCTATTTAATTACAATCTTCAATTGGTTATAGTATACTATTATAGTAAACTAGATGATATATTAATTAAATTAAAAATTACAATCTTATTATAATTAATAATAATTGACAGAATTTTATTTTTGATAATTATAATTAGCATGATAATTTTGACAAATTATCGGAATTAGTTATAAGAAAAGTATGGTTTTATTTCCATTGATAAACCCGGAGGTAATCGATTTCCATGGTAGGCTTCTCCCAGTGTTGGGCCTCAGCGGGGGTGACCTGAGGGCCGTACTGGCCCTCCGGGAAGAAGTTTCCGCCGACCGCTATGTTTAGGATCCAGTGGAAGGCCTGATCAAAGGGGGCTACGTTGTGGTTGTAAGGGTTGGTGCCCTTATGGGACCACATATTCCTATTGATGTTTTCGGAGTGGTATTCGTTGCCATCGATGGACCATTTGATTGTTTGCTGATTCCACTCGAGAGTGAATGTGTGAAAGTCGGCGGTAAAGTCGAAACCATAGGTCTTCTCTCCACTGCCGGACCATACATTGTTGGGTGCGCTGCCGCCGTAATGAATGGTTCCCTGGACTACGTTAGGTTTCTGTCCCCGAGCCTCCATTATGTCGATCTCGCCGCTCGCTGCCCTGTATCAGCGCAATCAATTGCATCAAAGTTTATGCTCAAATGTCCGACCAGTGGGTTACTTGACATACCAGGGCCCGTAGACACTGTTCTGAGGCATCATCCATATGGCGGGCCATAAGTGTTTGCCTTTTGGTAGTTTAGCTCTGGCCTCAAACTTGCCGTAAGTCCACGCCTTGTTCGATAGCATTCGGGTGGACGTGAAGTGTTTGCCGCCCTGTTCGTGCACTTTGGCATTAATCACGAGATGTCCGCCCTCTTGACGGACATTATTAGTGTCTCCATTGGTGTAGTACTCCAACTCGTTATTACCCCAACCTTTGAGTTAGTAATTCATGAAATAATTGGCAATTAATGGCAAAATTAATCAAAACTGAGTACCGCTGCCACCGGTTTCGTAGTGCCACTCCCCAGCACTGGGGGCTCCGCTCCCATTGAATTCGTCCGACCAAACCAACTGCCAGTCCGCCCGACAGCTCACTACTAGAGCCGCACTCAATACAAATATCCTCATAAACATTGTTATTGTCTGTGATTGTGGTGAATATAATTCAATTAAATTGGTTGTCTCTCTGTTGTCGCCTTTTATACGATTTGATTGCTTTGATTGCAATCTGAAATGAAAATTAGTTTTTTTTATTTTTACTCAATTGGCTAAAGAGTGAACAACACATCAACACATGTTTGTTTCCATTGGGTTATTAGGAAATCATTTGACTTTCTTAACTAATTTCTCATGAGATAAATCCCAATCATTTTTACAGTATATTGTTTGCCGCATATCTTGTATTAAATATACTGTACTATAAAGGTGCATTACGTTTTGACAAAAACAGATTATGTTTAAGTGTACACTGTACTTGCTAGTGATTCAGTTGAATCCATTTAAATATAATGGTTGACTATAAATATTTATATAATTTATAAATAATATATTAATACAATATAACAAATAATTTGTTGATAAATATTTAATTGTTTTTGGGTTAGAGTTAGAATAATATAAAATCGTTATAAATTGAAATGAATTTATTAAAACCAGATTCTGTGCTTTATCTTCACAAAATTTTATAGCTGAATGTTGTTAGTATATTATCTGGCTGAGTTGAGTTATTTGCGCTAATTGTGTGCTTACTTAATTTGTTTGAAGTTAGAAAATAAGTTATCGAAAGCAGCTGTACTCAATAGGATAGACTTGTTCATTTTTTGATTGCACTCCACGTCATATTTAAAAGTTTATTATTAAATCATTTATTTTTAAAAGTTATAACTCATGACATTTATATTTTATTTTTTATGTTAGCTAATAAGAAATATTCTAAACTTATAAAAACTTCACTTTAAAATAGTCTCTTTACAAAATTTGTTTATTTATTCGTGTTTTCAATTTCTCAAGTGTACAATATTTATATCATTATGAATCATAAATGTATTTTCTATAGTTACAATTTATGTCAAAACTTTCCATTTTAAACTTACAAATATAAATTTATTTTTTATATTTTGTTAATATAAAGTACAGTATTTATCCATTTCTTATTAATTTATTCGACACGTGTCAAGTAATAGGATTTTTATTTGAAGGATTTTATTTTTTGTGAGATTAGTGTATATAAGTTACTAGTATACCAATGGATCGTTTCTATTTTAGAGTAAGATTATAAAAACTGATAACTGATATATCATTTTAATATAAACCAATGCAGAAGCTTTTGCAGTTATCATGTTTTGTATTTTTACCCAAAAAAGTGAACCAATTCATTGGAATACATTTATTAGATTATATTTACACAAAAAAACATATTTTTGTATGCATTTCCTATGTGGGTTTCTTGCAAGTTTGTATGCTTTTAAGTGCTATTTTTTATAAAGTAAATCAAATTGTTAGTTTTATATTTAGTACATTTTTAACATTTTTATTCCCAATAACTTTGTAATAATTTTTGATTTTTAAACATGTTTTTATGATGTTATTGAAAATATTTTATAACAAAATATATTTTGTTTAAGAAAATAATAATGTTATCATCATATTATGATCAAGAAAGTACCTGAATTTAAGCAATTTTAACTCACAAACTTACATGAGCTTGGTGATTACTTAATTTGTTTGAACTTATAACCGAGTTATCGAAAAATACTCAAATAGGACTTGTTCATTTTATAATTCATTCTGTGTTTATCACATTTGAATGCCTACTATAAAATAATCTATTAATTTTATCAAATTAATAATTAAATCTATTATTTTTTAAATTATAAAACATATTAATAAGACTTAATAAGACAGTCACACTCGAGTAGAATT